ATAAGCCTGATTTGACCTGATCTTCTCCAGTTGGGTGAAACAGTGGAGTAAGAGCTGGAGTTATTGATATACTTCACTTGAGTAGTGCATCCACTGAAAACACATCATGCTTAGCAGGTTGGGAAGCACTTAACAAGGAGAAGGCACTTGTACTCAGAAATGAGAGAGTGAAATTGTGTAGAAAATTCTGTCAACTAATGGTCTGAAAAATATTTTGCAAAGGCTATTTTCTACCCTTACTTCTAATACATCTTATACATTAATAGCCTGAACGACTGGAGAATCACACACATTAATGTCACAGTTCACTGGGACAATTTGTTTTGCAAAGATAATGAACTGTGTCAGCAAAAGTTTAAAGCTTGCTCTAGGTGGGGCTGACAGTTCAGCTTTCTGGTAACTTTGCCAGCATTTCCCAGTAAAATTCCAATGGTCTCTGACTAAATCTCTGAGAGATTTGGTAACCTGGGGGGAGGTTATGCCATCACTTTCTTGAAGTATTTATTATTTTGCTCAAGGCATTCTCAGGAGTAACTTGGAAGGAAATACTGCAAAATATCAATAGTATTTTTTTTAAGACCTTTAGTCCTCTCACACCTTGGCAACAGGGGTGTCTTTGTGTGAGAAGGTACCTTCACCTCATTAAAGTCATTCAGCCCAGGTAGAGGTTTGTGTACCCTAGGGCTTTTCAGCACAGTGTCAGGAATGAAATCAAGTCTGGTGGGGTTTTTTGCAGTCTGTAGTGCAGCTCATGCTGGCAGAGGATGCTGTACCCCTGGTTGTGGGGAGACCTCAATGGTGCAGTTGGGAGTAGAGATCCTTGGGGGTGTTCAGGAGCAGGGGAGGTTTCTGACCCTGGTGTTACCCTACCTCTTCAGAGGAAGAAGCTGAATAAAGGTATAAATCGTTAATCTGATATTGTAGGGGACAAATCTGTGATTTGAGATCCAGACAGGCTGCTAGGGTGAGGAGATGGATCTAGTGTCAGGGAGCACAGGGTACAGGATCAGTGGGGAAGACAAAAAGAGACAAAAAAGAGTAAAAATGGACATAGCAACAAGGAGAATAGGAGGAAATGATGCAGTTTGAGCTGTAGTAGAGGGTGACTGGGGTGGAGAGGTGGGAGGAGGGAAGAGAAGAGGAACAGGCTGGTGGGTGTTGGATTTGTGGGTAAGCAGAAAGTAGCCACCTAGAGCACTTGATCCTTGCACTGCCCATGAGGATGCTCAAGGCAGCAAATACCTGCCAGACAACAAAAGGTGTCTTTCATTCAGATCAAGTGAGGGCAGTGGAAAAGGCCAGCTACATTTGCAATGCATGTGGCAGGAGGATGGGCTGGTTCTAAAGCAGCAGCGTGTGCAGCAGGCCATGAAGCCCTGCCAAAACTGCAGTTCTTTAGCAGCTTTCAGTGCCCAAGATGGTAGTTGTACTGGTTTTGTTTCTGAGCAGTTTGTTTAACTATTACTAAAAGTGCCTCTGGTTATTAAAAAACTCCGTTTGCCTGTGCTAATTTAACTCCTCCTGTATGTGCCTCATGAGGTATTCAGTTGCATCACTACAGGCTGCTGCTTTCAGCTCTGTTACAGTGCCCAGAGCTCTGGCACTGGGTGGCACCTGGCTCAGTGGTGAATGTTGCTGGGGCTGCAGACAGCCCTGTCCTTCCCACAAGCAAGCTGGAGACTAAATAAAGCAAATGGCAGGAATAGAAATACTGGTTTCATGATAAATTGGACTGTGTCCCTGCCTGTGACAACCTCTGTTTGGCAGCCTCCCACCTGCAGAGCACTCAATATTGCACCACTTTAAACATTTTCATGTGTAAAATAAATCCTCGATTACTGTGCCAGAGTGGTTGAGTAAAGCAAAGCTGCAGGATGATGATTTGTGAGTTGTCTCAAGGAACCACTTTCAGCACCAGGTGCTAAATGGTCTTTAACCTTCACTGAGGGGCTCAGGCACATGCATTTGTGCTTCTCTTGGTTTGCAGCATTGCAGGATGAGCTGCTCCCACTGGGGACTGAGCAGTACTGTGGAGCATGATCCCTGACTGATGGGGAATGTATTGCTTTCCAAGTATAGATAATAGCTCCTAAATTCCAGGCTGTCATGGGATCTGCAGTAAACTGACCCTATGGAGAAAATGTACAGGTAATGAATGTCCAGCTATATTGAAAAGAAGGATTGCCCTTTTCAGCAAGGGCACACGTATAGGGAAGTTATAAAAGCTTAATAAACAAATAAATAGTTTATTGATGATCAACTCGAGTGCAGAGTTCTTTTATGTGTTTGTAGGACCATGTATGCCACGGCTGGGAGAGACTGGACCACAACAATCCCATCTTTAGTGTTTTCTTGCTCCCTTTCATCTTTAGGATCAGTTGGAGGTTTTGGGAGTGGAGAGTCATCTCTAACTGTGTCTGAGGTAGATTTGTTTACTCTGAGGAAGAGGTCACACGAGTCTAGTACAAACACAACGGCTTTGTTCTGAGAGATGCTTCTCTTCTATGCTTTCTTTCATACCATGCTGTCCCATGGCATTTCACAACAGTGGGGCAGAGCTGGAAAAGTTATTTATCCTTTGATTTGTCCCTGGACCTGAGATGATTGAACAATAGCATCCCCTTTATCTTATCTAGACACCTTAACTTACCATCCAAAGTTCCAGTCCAGCACCTTCATGAAGGCTTCTGTGTTTGTAGCATCTTTATACAGTTTTTGCTACAATGGGCAAAACTCCTTCATAAAATGTTAAAGGCATGAACCATTTCAGTCCCTGACGAGCTGTGTTCCTCTCTGCCCACAGACTGAGCAGCATGGAAAGAGAGGGTAAAGCTGGGGAGCAGGGTTAGTCTGCATCACTTTTTAAGCCTCCTTTTCTGGGACATCCAGCATCTCTGTCAGTTCTCTCAGAACCTGTGTTTATTCTGGAGGTGTCTGTTTTGTTTGTTTGCTTGAGAGCTTGTACTGAGTTTCTGCTAAGCCTTGTCATGGGACTAACTTTAGCTTTTGATTGCCTGCAATGTTCAGTGAAGTTCCACTTTGCATTTCTTGGATTATGTCTGCAGAAATGAATTTAAGCTATTCTTCTTTCTACTTATCCTCTTTGCTCTCTTTTGCTTCTCATGCTCTGAAAGCAGCCAGAATGCATTTTTGCTTATATCCATGGTCTCTCTGGATTAGATGGAAATGTAAACTTATGGGGGCAAGAAACATCTCTTGGGAACCAGTGCAGGGCCCTTTGGAGTACGGCTGTTTCTGCAAGTGATCAGTAAAAATGTAGATTAAAAACTTACATAGTGCAAGCATTTAAAACCAAACAACTTGTTACATCAACCCACTCTCAGTTGGTGAGGCATGATGAACATTTTGATGTTGCTTTTCTGCTGCTTTTTTTTTTTATATAATTAGCACCTCACCTTTCTCTGCAGGGTTTTCTTTTCCCCATCTGCTATGTCCTACAAGGTGGGCAGGTAGAAGCCAAGCCACAGTAGTGCTTCTGGCTCAAGAATTGGTCCTTCCAGCCATCCTTTGTGATGTGCCTTGTTCTTCCTTGAGGATCTCCAGAAGCTGCAGAAGTGGCTGTGGGGTTGAACCCCATCATCACTGTCAGGGAGGGAACTGGTGGCTCTGACAGAGCAGAAGAGTGACTTTGGTGCCTGTTTCCAGCTGAGCAGGGGTTGATTTGCTGGGCTCCCACTGGGGCCAGCACTGGGCAGCCTAATCCATCAGTGCCCTGTCCTGGCCCCTGTGCTGCAGGGCTTTTGCACCTTTTAAGTGGTTACTGCTTTGGCAGAGTTTAGATGAGCTTGCCTGTTTTCTTTCATACAGAACGATCTGAAAAACCTTTTAACTGGGGTTATTTTCCATTATAGAATGGTTTGGGTTGGAAGGGAGAGATCATCTTGTTCCTCTGTTTCTCCCTCTTTCTAAACATTTGCATTTCTGTTGATGAGGATTTGCAGTAATGCAGATACCTCTTGATGCATTCCAGGATAGAATAAACACTCTGTGGGAGAAGTTCTTTGCTTATAAATAATCATTTATTCCCCCTAATTTGAATGGAAAGCAACATTTTACTTATCTTTTAAAACTGTCAGCTTAATTCTGTGTTTGTTAGCAGTGTAAACTCTTGTCCCTGGAGCATTCTGGGCAATTTGCAGTGAAGTTAATACATATTGTGCTCGGCACAAGGAGGCAAGGGCTACTAGGTTGATGAAATGTCAGCTCTCCTTACCTAGCCCAGGTAGATTTTTGGCATACCTGAAGTTGCAGGTGATGTTAATGCAGTCTGAGAGATGTTTCTAGCAGTTTGCACCATGGGTTGTGCAATACATGTAATCAATAGGCTGTTAAAGAAGCTGCAGGTTCCCTCTTGCTGGGTGATTTCGGATAATGCATTAAATATAATTGGGAATGATAGGGCTAACTGCCATAGACTGGCTGTATTTTACCTGAAGGTCTTTCAACTGTGGAGGTTTTTTTTTGTTTGCATGGTGTATATTAGAAATGTACACAGCTCCCATCACCAAACAGGGACAGCAGTGCACTGTGTGAGTGTAGGACGCAGGTGGTTATGCCCTGCAGATTCTGTTTGAAAAGCCAGGCAGGAATTAGGAGCAGGGCACAGTCTTTTAGATGGAGAACTGGAATCCAGTGAGATGCTTTGCAAGATGATCTGTGGCAGACACTGGTCCCAGCCCCCAAAGCTGGTATTCTCAAATGGAGCTCCTCTTTGCTGGAGGTTGTTTAAAAATACATGTCAGTGAAACAGAGCTCACAGGCCTCCTTGGCTGAGGGCCCATAGCTAATCACTAGAGATTTCACATTGAAGTCTTTCAGAGTGTCTGTTTGATTAATGGTTCGTATTTTGCTGATCTGAGACTTTTTATTTTATTCTTCAATTTAATACATATTACTTACATGAGTTAATATGTTTTAATTCCATCTTAAATCCAGTGGAACAATCTTTACAGTGGAGTTGGCTTTTTTTTTTTGCACAGCAGCAGCAGCATGTTTGCAGAGGCTCGTGCTTGGACATGCAGCTGGTTAGTAGGATTCTTCACAATCCCGTTGTATGCACTTCCCTGGAAGTCTCTTAAAAGTAAGAAACCAAAGAACTCAGAAACACCATGGAACTGAACCTCAGTGCATTATGCCTCAAGGCTATGAGGGATAACCCTGCTGCTCTCCCAGGAGAGAGGTTTGGTATGTCAGGCTGTCACAAAGGTATGTGCAGAGAGGCTGGGTGGGAATGGGAATGCATGTTTGGGTCCACTGAGATGACCTTGCAAAGTCCAGCTGGTTTCCCTTGGCCTAAATTCGAGTACGTTAGAGCAAAATCTGATTTTTACAAGTTCACACAGTCTGTATGCTGCTCCCTTCCTTTTAAATTAAACATCCTTTTCTTTTCCCCAGGCAGGAAAAGCCCCAGGCGCGCTCCCATTGTGGCTGTGCTGTCTGGGGACAGGCTGTTTGCTGTGGCTCTGGCACCAGCAACTGCAGCCAGTGTTGGATAAACAGTGCCCCTCCATCTGTTCAGCTCTGGATTCCTGAGGATGCCTTTTCCCCCTGCTTTTTGCATCCATGCAGGAAGAAGCTAGTGCTGTCTAAGCACAGCCATGCCGAAGGGTTCATTAACAAGGAGTTGTGCCATGTTTGCCTGCAGAGCTTTGATCTTGAGAAGGGCACTCAGCAGCAGCACCACTGCTGCCATATCAAGGGCCTTTATCCTTGGCACCTGGGGCTGGAGCCTCAGCAGGGAGGAGCTTTGTAATGAACTAGGAGCCTTTCTCCTGAGAACCATGAACTTCTGTCTCAGTTAAATGTGTGTTTGTTATTTTTCAGTGGTACAAGTGATCAGTTATTGTAAAATCCCTAAGTGGTTTGTATTGAGGAGAAGTCTGTGACATATGCAAGTGAACCTACTGCTTTTGACACTTGTTTCTCTTAATATTTTCAGTCCTGAATGACAAATGGACTGTATTCTTTGTGGTTAGCACGGACTACTTGCAGAAGTCTCATGCATTCATGCCTTCACAGTTCAAAACAGCTTCTCAAGCCAGTTTTTCCAGCAAATTTCCTCTTCCTGAGGTTAATTGTTGAAGATCATAATAGCTAGGTGGCAGAAGTCCACAAAACAAGGCAGTATTCCCCATGTAATAATGTATCTTAGTACACTAAGTTTTTGTATGCTATTCCTTCTCCCCTAACTGCACTACTTTAGTCCAGACCTAACACTGTCATGCCAGCTAATTCATTTTCATGTCTTTGCTTCCTCTTTGTCCTGCTTTCTTGGGTTTTTGCTCATGTTCACAGGATCACCTCTGCCAGGCTGGGCTGCAGTCACTACTTTCAGAGCATTGCTGTCAGTAGTGGGGTCTGCTGTGTGCTGCAATGGCTTTTAAAGCCAAGAAGTCTCTCCCTGAGCTGACAAAGTGCTCTCCAAGTGGCTGCATTGTGTTTTTAGTTTCCCCACTCTCCCAGCGTTGTTTTTGTTCCTGTGTGTGACACCAGTGAAGCACACAGCACGCTGCCTTCCCATCTAGGCAGTCCAGGGTTTGGTTTATTTATAGGTCAGGAGAGCATGAGTGGCATTTCCAGGTTTAGGGAGATGGAAGAGAGAAACAACAGAAGGGAGCAGCTTGCTAGTAAAGAAGAGATTATTTGTCAGATTATGTCTCTTGCTCTTCCTGGAATCAGCTCATTTTTTTAGAGGACTAGCATGAGAAAGGCAGAAGTCCTGGGAGTGCTGTGTTGGTCAGGAAAGCTCTGTGCTGGGGGTTACAGAAGCACAGGGGACCCTTGCCCAAGCTGGTAGGATGACATGATGTGGGAGCTTGTGGTGTGCCACTGAACTGATTTTATTTCTGCATCCAGAGGCTGTGTGACTGCTTTGGCTTTCTTTAGGTTCAGAGATAGGAAGTGTAGGAAAGGAAATATTTCTAGCTTCTGGAAACTTTCTTCTCTTTTTTATGTAGCACATAGTCTGGAAGCAAAAGTCTTTGTTGCTCTGCCAGTATGGCTGTTAAGAAGAAAAGATAAAAATATGCCAAAGAAGATTTTAAAGGAGCACCAACAGGCAATGATCTTTCCAGGAGATAAAAAAAAACTTTCAGTTTTTCCTCAGCACCTCTTACGTAGTGGTTCTCCCTCACCCTCTTATTTTTGTCTTCTGAACTATCACTGTGAGATAGAGAAAAAACAGTATTGAGAAATTTAGTGTCTGCACAGAATCACAGCCTGTCCCTTTAAACTACAGAAAAGCCTTAGTGGAATTTCTATTCTGGGAATAGTTAATTCTGTTTGAGGTTGGGCAAGAGAGAAGCACTCACAGGCTTAGTAGCAATATTTTTACTCCATTTGTTTTTTCTCTTAAGGATTTGACTGCCTCATTTATTTGATGGAAAGTGCATTTATTGATCAATCCTTCACTAAGGAGAAAATCTTGAAGAAAAAGGGGGTGAGAGAAAGAAAAGCAACAAAACAAAAAGCCTAAAAGACAGTATTTGTAGCTGTAGTGCTGTTATATAATAGCCATTATGTAATGTCTGTTGGTTCCAACTAAAAATATACTGGAAGATAACTTCCAATTCATTGAAGCATTTAACTAGCATCATCCCAGGGTTTCTGATTCTGGATTCAACTCCTCCTGCAGATGTTGAGAAGAACTTATAAGTCCCCTAGGTAGCACAGCAACCCATTCTGTCTTTTATCCCTCTTCTTGTCCACTCTCGATTTTTTTTCTTCTAACTGGTGTTTTAGAAGTGGTAAATCCCTCTTCAGGTCACCTCTCTGCACACCCCACTGACCATGCCATTGGTCCATAGAGCCTTTCTCTTAATGCTTTGTTCAGCTAAGCTTTAAATGTCTATGGCAGGCTCTGGGTTCCAGGCCAAACTGAGCATAAAGCGTAGCAGGGATTAGATTTTGCAGCAGACATTGAAAACTTGACAGCTTCATAGGTAATGTTTTACAGAAAGTTGTTCTCCTGTAGCTGAGCTGCAGCTAAAGGCACCTTGCATTTTCCATCCTTAAGCCTCCCCTGGAAGTGCAAGCAGGACCTGCCCAGATGTTCAGTCCAGCTACAATTGCAGAAATGGGCACCCCAAGATACCCAGAGCTGGCCCCTGTGAGATGCAGACCATGGTTTGCCCTTCCTCTCTGAAGCACAACATCAATGTGGCTGGGCAGAGCCTGGAGCACCAATTCCTGAGCAGCCCAGACCGAGCAGTGCTGCACAATGGAAGTGCCTTGGCCTTGAGGGGCCAAGGTGGAAGTGCCTTGGGCTTGAGGGCAGTGGCAGCCTCTCTGGGGAAGGAAGAAGACATCAGCTATGACACCCTACACATGGTGGGTGTGACAGCTGTGGTCCCTTAACACAAGGGAACATGACAGGCTGCTGAAAGTGACCCAAGGAGGAGCAGCAGGGAGGTGACCCAGACATCCATGAGCAAAAATCCATGAGCAAAAAACCTCCTTATATCCAGGATTTCAGTCTGCACAGAGCTGTACAATATTGTAAATAACAAGATGTATGACAGAATTGTGTGAGTGCTTTAATTAACGCTTCGTGGTAGTGCTGGGGGAGGGTAGTAGACATGTTAGCACCAGAGACGAAGCTGAGCTGTGGTTGAAACAACTTCACACAGAGGGATTCAGAAAGCGGGGTTTAGACTCCCATCTTGTGCTGTAATTGATGTAAAGCATTGCCATTTCTGTTCTTCATTACTGAAGGTACTGTTCTGTACCTAAGCACTAAGACTGTGCGATGGCATAAATCTATATTGAGGTTTGTTACTACAGTAAATGCATCCTGTTAATGAAAAATGGTCAAAGACACTAATGGCTCCATTGCAGGCATAACAGGTGAGGAGAGAACTGTCCAAGCCCTCCAGAATCACTGTTTTAATCCCCAAATGTGATCAGCAAGGGGTTTTGTTTTTCAGAAGAGCAAAGGTTTAGTCTGTTTTCAAGACAAGAGTATTTGTTTTGCATGAATTTACTCAAGAAGCATCTTGAGATTGCATCCACACAAGCATTATGTACATCAAGTGACATGTTTTGTTCTAGAAGGTGCAGAAGTCATTAGTACCTCTCGTTGTTGTTGCTGTTGCTTTATTACAGCAACAGAATGAAGCGGGAGTGCATGTAACTCGTAGGTAAACTCAATTTCTTCTGCAGGAACAGAAATGTTGGCAAACTAATGAAGGGAACCAGTGGTGCTTTGTGCATGCATTGGCTACATGTCAGCTGCAGTGACAAGGGCAGTTATGTTGTGTCAAGTTTTAATAAAGGGGAAATCCTTGTAAGCAGAATTAAGATTTTATCCAACAAGTATTTTTGCTTGCTTTTAACTGAAGCAGCCTACCTTCTACCCCAGGAATGTGCTTCACATCCTAGGTCATGGTCACATAGAGGAAGCCTTTCTGCTGGAAGATGCCTATGTGGAAAGGGCAGCGGGTACTGGGTTAAAGCAGTGGATCAGGACATAGAAATCGTGTCATGTGTGATCAGATGTTTTATCCTGGTTCTGTGTTGATGCTTGTCTCTGGTAATTGCCGAGTGATGTGGATGCTTACTCAAAACCACAGCAAATTAGGTGAGTGATAATTGTTTAGGACTCTGGGATACAGATTATAGATCAGGCCAGCATGATTTGCTTTCCCTGGGGTAAGATATGGTGTGCAGTGCTCATTCCTTTATTTGTATAAAGGCAGGGAGAGAGTCTATACAAAAGCTGTTTGCTGAGGTGTGTGTGAATAGAAACCACTCTCCATTTCCTTGTGTTTCAGATCACAGGTGGCAGATGGGGAGAAAAAAATATGTAGCTGTGGAAAAAGAGGCAGAGGATTTACTACTGCCTTGCCAGTCCAGCCAGGCACAGTTAGAGCAATACACTCACCTTGGTGCACTTCTCTTGGTGACAACAGCAGCATTTTAATTGAAGACATGGCCATAAATCTTTTAGTGCCAGGAAAAAGCTGGAGGTCTGAAGCATGGAATAGGGAACAAGATCCACTGTCCTGTACGTGCTCTCCCGTGGGAA